CAGACATTCATATTCACACACACTAACACTCACACACAAGAACACAAGAACACAGACATTCATATTCAGACACACACACTCACACAAGGACACATACTCCAGGACTCATTCATACACACACACACACACACTCATACAAGGACACACACTCTAGGACACAGACATTCATATTCACACACACACAAAGACACATACTCCAGGACTCATTCATATTCACACACACACTCAACAAGGACACACACTCCAGGACTCAGATATTCATATTCACACACACAAAAACACACTCTACAGGACATAGACATTCATATTCACACACACACACACACTCACAAACAACAACACACACTCTGGGACACATTCATTTTCACACATACACACTCACACAAAGACACACATTCTGGATATTAATTAAGGACACATATGTTAATATTCACAAACATACTCACACAAGGACACACACTCCGGGACACAGACATTCATATTCACACATACACACAAAGGGTAAGACTGCTATACACAGACATTCAGACACACATACATACACAAAGACTCCCAGACACACACTCACACAAGGAGACACACTCCAGGACACAGACATTCATATTCACATACACACACAAACACACACAAGGACACACACTCCAGGACTCAGACATTCATATTCACACACACACATCCACAAGGACACATATTCCAAGACACAGATATTCATATTCACACACACTCACACACACAAGGACACACACTCTACAGGACACAGACATTCATATCCACACACACACACTCACACTCCAGGACTCAGACATTCATATTCACACACACACACACAAAGGGTAAGACTCCTATACACGGACATTCAGACACACATACATACACAAAGACTGCTGGACACAGATATTCACACACACACACTCACACACACAAAGGAAAGACTCCTAGACAGAGATATTCATAGTCACACACCCACACACATATATAGATCCCTAGACACAAACATTCCTAACACACATATAGAGTCCCACATAGGGAAAGACTCCTACACACATTCAGACACACACACACACACACACACACAGAGTTGTAGTTAATCACCTTAGCCTAGCCCAGCATGCCCACTGCGAAAACACCTGATTCTATAACAGGAAGGAGAGCAGAGTCCACAGCGCCTGCCCTAGGAAAGTCCTTAAAGAAATATTTTCACCTCTTTCCCACAAATAATACACAATCTCACAAAAGCACCTACGTGGTTCTCTCTCTCTCTCTCTCTCTCTCTCTTTCTCTCCAAACACACACACACACACAAACATACACAGACTTACACATACACAACAGCACTTCTCTAGGTAAAACATAAAAACAAACACATCAAAAGGAAAAGAAGAAAAAGTAGAAGCATTCAAGCAAGCTTTAGAAGCAATCAAGTTTAAAAAGGATAAGAACAGCATGAAGTTGAGAGGTCAGGTCACTCCAGTATAAAATGTCAGGGTGAACGGAGACTAGAAGGGCACCCAATGCAACGTGTTCATTTTTCATACAAGCACGCTGCAGTTCCAGGGAGGAGACAATGACTCAAGCTCCCCCCAAAGTCTTGTTTCTGAATCACCTCCAGACTTCCAGTCTCTGGCTTCTCATTTGCAGCTCCCCCTTCCTGATTTTCCTGGGGAGCAGCAAGTCTGAGAAGCTCCAGTAACCAGGTCTGGGACTTTAGGGAGCTGTCTGCAGAGGGTGAGCGGCGGCTAGGAATTGTCAAGGGTCACTGAGAAGTGAACTCTTTCTCTTCACGAGCTGAATGGACTGTGATACAAGTACCAAAGGGGAGCAAGGCAGAAGAAGGTGCATAAACAACACTCCAGATGGGCTTGAAAAGAGCCAGCAATGTTTGAGAACTAAGATAAGAACTGACCCCAGGGTTTGCAAGTTGGTGTGGAGTCGCCAGATTATCAGCATCACTTGGGTCTGCAAGGTACATGTAACTAAAGGTGGCTGTTGTGGTCATTTGAGGAGTAAACCAGCAGATGGTAGATTCTCTCCCCCCCCCCCCTTCAAACACATCCATAAATAAATCTGTAATAAAAAGAAACAAAAAATGTTGAAAACATATCAATCCAGTTTTTTGCAATCCTCCTGGCTAATTTATTTAATCTTTTACTTCTTCTCAGTAGCGAGTAATCATTATCCCCAGCAAATAGGTAAAATTTTAAATTAAATTAAATTATCCCTAGGTATTCCACCCACTGAGACAAATGCTTCCACTTTAAAAGACCATGATTGCAGTGGCATGGTGAAAAAGAACTTTACTGGACACATACTTATCTGAGTTACATGTGAACTGGTGGGATAGTTTTGCTCCCACTGCCTCAGCAACTCAGGTCCTGACTCTCTGCAGCCCTGTTTTCCAGGGTCTCTCTCCCCATTTTACACTGCTGTGAATCTGCAAAGTCTGGATTTTGAGAAGGAAAACTTGCTCCTGGCGTGCAAGGGAGAGCTCCACCACGTCTGCCCATTTTCCACTGGGTAGTGGGCACTCCTATGAGCCCATCTAACTGCTCTGTGCCTGGGCATGTACTCTGTCCAGGGAGCAGAAGAGAACACAAATGCTGAGGTCCATTTGCTCAGGGATGTATCCACACACTGCAGAGGCGTTGGAAGGATTTAACTCTGTGTAATGACTTCTCCAGTAGGAGGTATGGTATGTGAAACAGAAAAAAAGAGGCACATACGCATCTGCCTGGGGCCCATGCTTCACCACACCTGCAAGGAGGCTCCAGCTGCAGGCTGCTAAGTCAGAACCTCACGTAATAGCATCACGGCAGTGATACCCTGCTGCCCGCGCCCTAGTCCTTGGCTAGGAGCAGGCCACAGGTGCCACCCACAGGCACAGAGGGAGGACTGCATCTTTGCACGAATGATGGCACCACAGAAGTCACTTTAGGATCTGATGACCGCTAGTTCTTTCAGTTGCTTTCCTCATGGTGACAGGAACACTTCATTTTTGAGACAATGTCTACCAAACCACCAACTCTGAGTAATAAAAATTTGCCTGTAAGTTACTCTTTGAAGTAAAAATTATGTTTCATGAAAAACAGCTAATTTATCTTTTTAAAAATCACACACACAAAATGCTTCTCCTTGAAGCAATCATCATACATTGAAGGGCAGAGATACTGCATTTCTCATTTGGTTGCACAGAATCTCAAAAAGCTTTATACTGACAGGTGGAGATTTGCTTTCAGGGCCTTTAGTTTTTCATCAATGACTTTCCAAACTGGAATTGGCATTTCTTTAACTGCAAGAGGTGTAGAGAAAAATCAAAGACCTCTCCATTCTGAGAAAACTCCACAGGGGATATCGGACAGGATGAATGATTGACATAAAGCACCTCTTGTGCTCTCTGGGACCAACACTTTTGAGGCTGCCTTACCTTTGGAAGACTATGAGCCCCTGTGTAAGTATAATGTAACTGTTTTTAAAAATGACATAAATAAAATGATAAAGAATCAATTCTTCATATTTTGCAGACAGGACATGCAAATAAAAATAATAAGCTGAGCTTTTTTTCTTCTTGTAATTTGATCTTATTTCTTAAATCCTTGGTGATCTTACAGTCCTTCTTCCACTTAGCCCTTCTCCAGAGTATGCCAGCCCTGCCAGGTTCCTGTACTGAGACCATAATTTATGAGGCTTTTAGGTCTTCCCCACTTCAAGGCTTTGTACTTTCTCTTGCCTCGGGGGCCAATGTGACCTGGCCTTAATTTTGCACACTGGGGGTGTTGCACTAAGTCACCAGCTCTCAAAGTGTGAGTCTCAGATTTTCAGGGACCCTGTTCATATCAGGGAATCTATGACATCATGTCTGATAACAGATCATAAGAGGATGGTTGTCTTTCTATTTTGCTAACATTGCACACATTATTCAACATACATGAGGAAAGAAGAGTAAAATTCCTCACACATGAGAAAAATCAAGACAGTGGCACCAGACTGCTTCAGACGGTTATTTCATCAACGTATGACTTACAGATTCTACAGCACAGGCAGCACAGGGAGCAGTCAACGGCTGTCACATTTCTACCAACATCTGAAGCCTGGGATCCTGGAGGACACATCCCCTGAGGAAGGCTACGCTTCCATCATTGCAGGATTGATGGGAAAAATCCTGCTGGGTGCTGCTGGCTGGTTTAGCTAGGAACAGTGGCAAGTTACTGATGGTGACAGAGATAGTGATCTTATAACCCCTGAAAACACTCCTGGAGTCCCAGGACCAAGACCTGCTCACTGAGACACCCCAATATTGCAGCAGTCCTTGTACAACCCAGATCCCAAGGCTGCCAGGGTACTTTGTCTTCATCCTACCATGAAGTGAAGGTGTACTACCTTTACTAGGCTGACTCCACAGTTTAAAATCACACAAAAATAAATCAAAAACAGGACTGTGTAAAAATATATATGTATCCAACCACAGGGTCTACACCAGAGTTCCAATTGCTTGGCCCTGGGCAAGATGCAGTCTCACCATGCTCATCTTCTGCGATCCAGATTCCAAAGGTCTATATTTACCTCTAAATATTCACCTATGGCTAATGTCTACTCTATTGAACAGCCCAGGTCCAGAGTCCCACATTAGGTCCCATATTAGCTCCAAATTCTTACAGGGAGCCATCAGATTCCTCTGACCTTGGCCTCTAGGCAATGCCTTGTATCACGGGAAGGCAATGTCTTCCATCACTTGTGTTTCTCTTTCTGTATCTCAGATGGAGCAGGTACTTCATAATATGCCTTAGCCTTCAGTACTCCCCCAAAAAGCCCAAGATAAAGTCTGGTTTGTTGGGAATATAATTGAAGGGAAAAGGACTTCAGGAAAAAAGGGGGAATAAAGTCAGAGAAAAGGAAAATAAATAGATTATAAAGAATATGTTACAATGAAGGCAACCTCCAAGGGCAATGAGAATTTGAACTCCAGGGCCAAAAAAGCTGTCACAGAGGGTTTTCTCAGAAAATGAAAGGGGAGGGGGCCGGTACTGTGGCATAGCGAGTTAAGCTGCAGCCTGCAGTGCCGGCATTCCATATGGGCGCCGGTTAGAGTCCCAGCTGCTCCACTTCCGATCCAGCTCTCTGCTATGGCCTGGGAAAGCAGTAGAAGATGGCCCAAGTCCTTGGGCCCCTGCACCTGTGTGGGAGACCCAGAAGAAGCTCCTGGCTCCTGGCTTCGGATCAGCACAGCTGCACCATTGCAGCCATCTGGGGAGTGAACCAGCGGATGGAAGACCTCTCTCTCTCTCTCTCTCTCTCTCTCTCTCTCTCTCTCTCTTTCTGCCTCTCCTTCTCTCTCTGTGTAACTCTGACTTTCAAGTAAATGATAAATAAATCTTTAAAAAGAGAAAAGAAAATGAAAGGGGAAAGCATTACCTATCAACTCATGTCTTCCATTGGTAAACAAGGCTGCTGCATGTTAGCAATGCTGAAGCTCATGCCTGCACATCCACAGGTGCATCGCAGGCCCCCGTCGACATCTCACACTGCTGAGTTAGAGAAAGGAAAGGCAGAGTCCAGGCAAGAGTGTGGTAATGGTCCATGCAGTCATGCCAGGCAAAGGAGCAAGATACAGAGGATGTGGAGAGGGCATAAGAGGTGCACAGTACCAATCACAAACAAGTCTCAGGAAGGTCCCAGGACAAGGAAGTTGGGAGAGTAGCAGCCTCGTCCCACAGAGAAGGGAACCAGTGGAAAATTTCAAGGTAGCTAGAGAGGTAGAACTCACCATCAGAGCCACAGGTTTACTTCTTGGTATCAGCTGCAGTCCAACACTGCCAACAAAGAAACAAGGCTTCTCTGAAGGACAGGAAGTCTTAATCTTCAGACACTGAGTGTGCTGGCCCAAACGAACTGGAAGAACAAGGTTGGGGTAAAGTTAGAAGTTCCAGTTGATGCTGGAGAAGCTTTTGATGGGGTGGATGAAGCACCAGTTAGGGAAGGGCAGGAGAAAACCCACCCAGGAAATGAGAAAGGAATTTCTCCTAGAACAGATGTCCAAAGTCAAAGGAAACAAGAGAGAGACCCAGATTGAAACAGAGGGGCAGGAAGCAGGTTCCTACAGACATAAGAATCCCAGGTGGTGCAGCAGGTTCTGGCCAGAGTGCCTAAGAAGTGGTTTTGGTGAGGAAAGGATCTAGGCCCAACTTGAAAAGAGGGCTATTGTGATACCAAAGACTTGAGCTTGGGCACAGTGATGGCCTGGGCATCACCCCAGAGGGAGTCGGCTGGTCAAAGGCTAGCAGAGAGGGAAGGGAATGGGTGGAGAAGGGAGTGGAAGTGTCCACTCCTTGGTGAACCCATAACTTCTTCTCAGTTCATCCTATAAGGCTTATCATGAGACAGTGAGTCATTTTCAAGAAGCAGCCATAAAAAATATTAGGAAAGAAGCAAACATAGGGTTCTCATGACATTTGTTTTGGTACCTCTCTAAGATGATGCTTTTCTCTCTCTTCATTTATCCCCTCTTCCCCTCTCCATCTGTTTCTTCCTCTTCCTCTTCCTCTATCTCTCCTCCATTGCTGTCCCTTCCTCTGCTCCAGTGTTGCCCATCACTCTCCTACAGTGATCTTCCTCCTTCTCTCCTTCTTCATTCATTCTTTCCTATTTACTTTCATGCATCTCTGCCTTTCCTGAAACCACAGACCTATTCAGAAAAACAATAATTTCCCATTGACTGATCACCAATACATCCAGGCAGCATGTGAGAATGTGAAACTACTGACTTTGGAAAACAGGTGGATGGAGCTAATTGTGGTGGCTGAGCCTGGGGTAACAGGTTCATGAAGGTAACAAAGCCATGCGAAGGGAAGAGCTACCTGCAAACCTGAGTTTCAAGCATGTTCGGATTTCTGAATGGCCACTCCTTGTAGGAGATCGTACACTGAGGGCAACTCTGGGTTAGTGACCTGAGCTTCATCTATTGGGATCAGAGGAAACTCTGATGCATGAAGTCAGATGATCAGAGCTCCCTTCTTCCTGTGTCACTCCAGAGAAGACTGACATGATGAGGGGAGGGTCCTCAGGGATTCAGTCAATCCTGACTGTCCATCCCCAATGAAGTCTACCATCCCTGCTCAATGTGGCATCTTAAGACATCCTCCATAAAGAAAGACAATGCCCAAACAGGCATTTTATTTCATTTCCCCTCCCAGGCCTGGGTCCACTGAAGAGCTGAAAATCAGATCATTGAATTGTTGTGCACCATCTTCACGGCCTCCCAGAAGGACCAGAAATGCCTGTTGCTACCCCCACATTTACTTCAAATAGGAAAAGACCCAATAGTGCTAATCTAAACTCCAGATTAGGACCTGGGCCAAGAGGCATGGCTGTTCCTGGGCTAATTAGTTCCAGAATTTCCTCCCGACTTAGTGTACTGCCACTCGAGAAGCCTGTTGTCCACAGCATTCACACCACAAAGGGTAGACAATAGGGACAGGTCCAGGTGACATCACTGTCAGATAGTAAGTGTGAAAAAATGTTAATCTGGAGATTTTCATTACAAACACTGGAATGAAGGTCAAGTAGCTAGAAAAAAATTCTCTTCCTTAAGGCAGGGCTCATTTTCTGTATAAAATGCCAGCTGACAAGGGACTCCTCAGCAGAGCACAGAGGCTGAATAAGCTGAACTTCTCTGAATAGCAGGTGAGTCTCCCCACTTGAAGCTTCTCGTATTCTCCTATAGGTACTTTATATTGAATGGGAGTTCTTTGCGATGATAAGAATAGACTTATTTTCAAAGCAATAGTAATTTCTGCTTAGGGTGATCTTGTAAGTTCTTTGACTTGTCACTTTACATTATAACTGTAAAACAAGGTGGAAATGATTTCTCTGAAGATATGTTTAGTTGGCAGGAGAATATGCCCATGTCAAAGGCACTTTTAGTGATATTTTAATTCTCTCTCTTCTATTCATTGAGAATTTCCAATACAGAAGGCATTTCTCTGGCAATTTGGATGGTTAAAAGATAAGTTTTTCTTTACTTCATGAGTGTATGATTCATCAGAAGCTATATTTCTGGGCATGCTTTGGGAAAATGCGAAATGGAGATTGGTTCATAAGAAAAAGGAGGACTGAAGCAAAATGAGGAGGGTGCCTTGTTATCTGCCCCCGAGCCTGTGGGAGGAGAGGCACAATAGGGACAAAACAGGGACACAGTCAACAGGGCTCCAGAAAGCATGTGAAGAGGGGCAGTGTGAAGAGAGGCTTGGGGAGGACCGTGTGGGCATCATGGGAAAGTATGCAGAAGATTTTCCTGTGAGGAGTAACACTCCAAGCGGTGGTCATCAGTGGGTAGACTCCAGGCTTTTTGTTCTACCACATTTCCAAGTGACCAGAGCCCTGAAGCTTCGCGTCATTCCTGGGAGGCTGCCGCTGTGTTGTACTGTTTGTTCTGTGCTTCAGTCTTGTGCACAGGCTTTTAAATGAATCAGGAAGAGAGAGAGCATAGGGAAATGCTCCATTCACATGGAGTGGAGCATATCACCTTTTCTTTCTATCCTTGAAAGCGTACAAGGGTCCTCAAAGGATCCTATGTTATCAAATTCAGGGAAACGGAAAGAAGGGTGGGTCTTACTTCTGAAGAGGCATGCAACGAGAGATACATACCTCCAAACTGATATTCTTCCTTCTCGCTCCAAATTACTCAGCTTTTCTTTCTCTAGGTCCTACACTCTTGGAAGAATGAGCTCCTACCAGCAGAAGCAACCCTTTACCCCACCCCCTCAGCCTCAACAGCACCAGGTGAAACAACCCTGCCAGCCTCCACCTCAAGATACCTTTGTTCCCATAACCAAGGACCCATGCCACCCAAATGTTCCAAGTCCCGGGAACACCAACATTGCAGAGCAAGGCTATGTCAAGATCCCTGAGCAAGGCTCCATCAAGGTTCCAGACACTGGCTACACCAAGATCCCTGACTCTGGCAACACCAAGGTCCCTGAGTCAGGATGCACCAGTGTCCCTGGGTCAGGCTACTCCGTGGTTCCTCAGCCTGGCTACACCAAGGTCCCTGACCAAGGCTACACCAAGGTCCCTGAGTCAGGATGCACCAGTGTCCCTGGGTCAGGCTATTCTGTGGTTCCTCAGCCTGGCTACACCAAGGTCACTGATTCAGGATGCACCAGTGTCCCTGGGCCAGGCTACCCCACGGTCCCTCAGCCTGGCTACACCAAGGTCCCTGAGTCAGGATGCACCAGTGTCCCTGGGTCAGGCTACTCCGTGATTCCTCAGCCTAGCTACACCAAGGTCCCTGAGTCAGGATGCACCAGTGTCCCTGGGCCAGGCTACCCCACGGTCCCTCAGCCTGGCTACACCAAGGTTCAAGAGCCAAATCCTTCAATAGTCACTCCTGGCCTGTCTCAGAAGAAGACCAAGTAGAAGTAATGTGCTGACATCCGTATCTTCAAGAAGCTGACCACCAGATGCTGAACACTCTCTTCCCATCTGCTCCCATGTCTCAACTGTCTCTATATCTGTAATCAGTATGTTTGCACCCCGGTGCATTTTCTCTCTCTCTTACTTGTACCGTGAAGCTATGTTTTATGAATGTCCTTGCATTCTAAAGTTCTCCGAGCCTCTGCAATAAGCAGAAGCTTAGTGGCTTTGCTGGCCCTCGGCTGCTGAGGGTTCATCTGCAGAGGGATTCTGGATGAGAAGAAATGTATTTCCTGAACTTTCCCCCATTAAACCACTCCTAACTTCACTATTGGTTGTGTGTATCATTGGCTGTATCTTCGCTTTTTCTTTCTGCCATGTGAATCGGGACCCACAGGCAAAGAGGAGTTGCTACAGAAGTCACACAGCTAATTCTGGCTCTGTGTGTGTTTAGGAGGCTGTGGGGTGCGGGGCGTCACTCAGGAGGGCATCCTGGGGTAGTGATGGATGTTGTGTGATGCTACCCAGACCTTGTCACTAGGGGAGTCTACAGCAGAATCCAGGCTTTCGTCTCCCACTTGACTGAGTCAAGCTTGATTTCCGTGGTGCCTGCTCCACCACTAGCCCTGAATATCCTCCCTACAAGTCCCCATCTATTCCTCCATCCTTGAACTTGGTTGTCTATTTTTCTTCATTTATTTTGCCTTCCATACACTCTGAGACATACAAAGAGGCACATTCATCACATTAGCCACACACTCACAGAATCACCTATAAGCTCCACCTTCTTAGCTTAGACAATTTTCTTTCTCTGAGTGACCACCATGTCAAGAGAGGCCTAAAACTGTACCAGGAAGATGGAACACACATAGCGCACAATGCCTCCCCTTGGACAGTTCTCCATTTTTAGGAGACTTGATATTCACAACCTTCTTACAGAAATGAGTACATTGCACACATGTGAGAATACATACGTACACACACACACACACACACACACACATTCCCAATAGTGTCTCTCCCAACATAACTCTCAGAAACCTATCAAGTCATTCTAAAAAGAGGTGAGTTTTATTTACTTGTTTATGTTTACTTGAAAGGAAGAGAGAGACAGAGACGGACGGATAGAAAGAGGTCTTGTATCCACTGGCTCCCTCCCAAAATGCCCACAACTTCTGGGGATCTCTTGACCATGTCAAAGCCAGGAGACTGGCACTCAGCATAGATCTCCAACATGGGTGGCAGAGGCCTACATACTTGAGCCACCACTTGTTGCCTTCCAGGGATTGCATTAGCAGGAAACTGGATTGGAAGCAGAACCAGGACTTGAGCACAGGCACTCTGATAATGGAATGTGGTGTCCAAGTGGCATCATAGCTACTATGCTGGACACGTGCCCCAGAAGGTAATTTTAAGTGGATATTACAAAGAGGAGCTTCTATTGATCTAATTTGGGTAAATAATCAACTAAATTTGGTGAAGAGTAGTTTATTAAACCTCAAAAAGTCTGCTGAGAGGTTGAGAGATTTATCCCCTCACTGGATGGTGCAGTGGATTTGAGAGTAACGTGCATTACATTTTGCATACTCATTAATGAGTATCTTGTATAGTTCTTGCATTTCAAGATAAGGAAATTGGTATCCAAAAAGGAGGAAGAAATCAACAGAAAGCAGAAATTTTATATATATTATATATCTGCAATATACCCACAGCCCAGTTCTGCAGCTCCCCAGCCCTCTCCATCTTCTCCCATAGCCTCGTCTTCTTGATTTCAGGAATGAGGAAGTCTGCAGTCTCTGTCGAGTGGGTATGGAATCTTAAGTTGTTTCCAGAGGCAGTGACATCAATATAAAATTTCAGAAGGGCTGCCTGCTCTTGTGCCTGGGGAGTAAGCCCCAGTGTTTGACAAGGTGAGTTGTCCTTAGCATCAAGCAGGTGGAAGCAAATGACCAGCATCACATGCCAGACGCACAAACACCACAGGTGGCACTGGAATGACTCAGTAATATTTGGAAACTGGGCAGAAACTGTCCCAAAAGTTATGAGTAGTTGCCAGACTGGCAGTGAAAATGGGATCAGGCCGGCGCCGCGGCTCACTAGGCTAATCCTCCACCTTGCGGCGCCGGCACACCGGGTTCTAGTCCCGGTTGGGGCGCCGGATTCTGTCCCAGTTGCCCCTCTTCCAGGCCAGCCCTCTGCTGTGGCCAGGGAGTGCAGTGGAGGATGGCCCAGGTGCTTGGGCCCTGCACCCCATGGGAGACCAGGAAAAGCACCTGGCTCCTGCCATCGGATCAGCGCGGTGCGCCGGCCGCAGCGCGCCGGCCGCGGCGGCCATTGGAGGGTGAACCAACGGCAAAAGGAAGACCTTTCTCTCTGTCTCTCTCTCTCACTGTCCACTCTGCCTGTCAAAAAAAAAAAAATGGGATCTCTGTGGTCTGTTAGGTATGTACTTGTTGAGGGGGCTTCAAATTATTGCCTGTTTCAACAATGGAAAGATCTAGAGATGACTCAGGACTGATAATAAGCAAACAGCATAATTTCCAGTGATTCTTTCTTAAAGTTTTATTTAACGTAAACAGATTTCGTGTATTTCATATATACAGATTTAGGAACATAGTGATACTTCCCACCCTATTCCCCCTACAGCCCCCGCTCCCACCCTTCCTCCTTCTGACTCTTAGTGGAGAAATGGGCTCCGCAATGCCTAGCCATGATGAATATAAAGTAATTTAAATATTTTAAGGGGAAATCTGGCAGGGAAGGCTCAAAAGGTTAAAAATCTGTCTGACTCTTGAGCCACAAATTCTATTCTAAAAAGCTCTTTTTAGGAAATATTTATGCATGTCACAAAGATTTTATATATCAGGATATTCAGTATTGTATATAATAATAACAAAAAATGGATAGCAACCTAAATTTGAATTGGCTGACAGCTTAAGTTTCTCAGTTCAATCTCCTCTCTTCTAACTATTTAATTTTTTTGCTTTTTTTTAGCTTTTTTTAACTTTTATTTAATGAATATAAATTTCCAAAGTACAGAATATGGATTACAATGGCTTCCCCCCCATAACGTCCCTCCAAGCTGCAACCTTCCCCTTATCCACTCCCTCTCCCCTTCCATTCACATCAAGATTCATTTTCTATTCTCTTTATATACAGAAGATCAGTTTAGTATACATTAAGTAAAGATTTCAACAGTTTGCTCCAACACAGAAACATAAAGTGAAAAATACTGTTTGAGTACTAGTTATAGCATTAAATCTCAATGTACAGCACACTAAGGACATAGATCCTACATGAGGAGTAAGTGCACAGCGACTCCTGTTGTTGACTTAACAAATTGACACTCTTGTTTATGGCATCAGTAATCACCCTAGGCTCTTGTCATGAGCTGCCAAGGCTATGGAAGCCCCCTGAGTTCACTGACTCTGATCATATTTAGACAAGGCCATGGTCAAAGTGGAAGTTCTCTCCTCCCTTCAGAGAAAGGTACCTCCTTCTTTGATGACCCATTCTTTCCACTGGGATCTCATTCGCGGAGATCTTTCATTTAGTTTTTTATTTTTTTCCCAGAATGTCTTGGCTTTCCATGCCTGAAATACTCTCATGGGCATTTCAGCCGAATCCGCATGCCTTAAGGGCTGATTATGAGGCCAGAGTGCTGTTAGGACATTTGCCATTCTATGGGTCTGCTGTGTATCTCACTTTCCATGTTGGATCATTCTCTCCCTTTTTTATTCTATCAGCTAGTATTTGCAGACACTATTCTTGTTTATGTGATCCCTTTGGTTCTTAGTCCTATCATTACGATCAATTGTGAACAGAAATTGATCACTGGGACTAGTGAGATGGCATTGGTACATGCCACCTTGATGGGATTGAATTCGAATCCCCTGGTATGTTTTTAACTCTACTGTTTGAGGTAAGTCAGCTTGAGCATGTCCCGAATTGCACATCTCTTCCCTCTCTTATTCCCACTCTTATATTTAACAGCGATCACTTTTCAGTTAAGTTTCAGCACTTAAGAAGAATTGTGTATTGATTACAGTATTCAACCAAAAGTATTAAGTAGAACAAACAAAAAAATACTAAGAGGGATAACATATTAAGCTGTTCATCAACAGTCAGGGTGAGGGCTGATCAAGTCACTGTTTCTCATAGTGTTCATTGTGTGGATGCCACATTTTGCTTTTCACTCCTTTGAAGAACACTTGGGTTGGTTCTACATGTAAACTCTTGTGAATAATGATAGTATGACCGTGAACGTACAAAATCGTTGCAAGCCCCTTCTTTCAGTTCTTTGGGTATATATCCAGAAGTAGAACTGTTGGGTTATGTGGTAACTCATTTTTAAAAAAAAAATATTCTATTACTGTAAGAGAACAGATTGTACACATTCCGTAGGTACAGTTCCAAGAAGACAACCATACTTCCCGCACTCCCTCACTCTCCCTCCCTCCCCTCTCTCCTGTCAGTTGTTGTAAAGACATAATTTTAAACCACTCTGTATTTACAGACAATTTGACTCTAATCATAATAGTCAACAAGTAAAAAGTAGGAAGACCACAGTTCCACAGGAGTATAAATAGGGCTAAAAAATGACAATCACATCCCAAAATGACCATTTCATTACTATTTTTTTAGTATTCTATATTAATTGCCACACATCAGAGAAAACCTATGATATTTGTCTTTTTGAGATTGGCGTATTTCACTAAGTTTAATGGTTTCTAGTTGTACCCATTTAGTTACAAGACAGGACTTTATTTTTATGTGAATGAATGGTATTCCATAGCGTATGTAAACTACATTTTCTTTGTCCAGTCATCAGTTGGTGGATATATAGTTTGATCTGGGACATCTGGTAAATTCCTAGGAACAGGATGGCTGGGTCATATGGTAGATCTATTTTTAATTTTTTAGAAATTGTCATCTGCTTTCCACAGCCACTATCCGATATTTTAGCACTGCCAGCATTGCATATTCTAATTTCTCCACATCCGCAAGAATGCTTAAAGTCTTCTGGTTTTTGATATAGCTGTGCTAATGGATATGATGTTTCACTGTTGTTTTGAGGTCATTTCCCTATTGATTAGTGATGTTTTCATGTGTTTATTGGTCATTTGACACCTCTTTCAAGAAATGTTTACTTAAGCTCTTTGCTAATTTTTGAATTGGGATTTTTTTTAGTAGTTGAGTTTTAAGATGTCTTTAGATATTATGAATGCAAATTCTTTTTATATATAATCTGCAAATAACATCATCCATTCACTGGGTTGCCTTTTCACTCTGCTTATGTCTTTGGATGCATTTTAC